ATTTCTGTCTCTCTCTTTCTCTCTCTCTTTCTCTCGTAAATATAAAATTATCATCTCTTATTGTGTAATACCACTGATAATTGATATAATACGTATATAGCTATGTTATCTGCAATAATATTTATATTATACATCGAAAGTGCATTCGGTCGTATTTCTCGTAAATTTGTAATGCGATCACGATAAGTCGTTTGTCGCTACCAAGAAAAACTGTCCCATCTCCTTTTCTCCTTTTTGGTTACCGCTTGCAATCGCATTCGTTCGCTAAGAGGATTCCGTTCCTCACTTGCTCCTACGTTTTTCATCACGATTCTTTCGCGCATGCACATTCTTCCGTACCATATACACTTTTTGCACGCACATGCATACTGTACATTCCGTTACAGGGGACAAAAAATGCGCCCGCACGCTCGCGTTTCCTCGTTATATCTCTCTCAAAACACAACAAGCGAACGAAACCGCTCCGTAAATACTCTCTACTTTTGATAAATAATAATAGAGCAATAAATATCTGCCGAAAATCTCGTGAATCTCACTCACGCTCCAATAACTCTCAGTATATATAATTCTCCAAAAAATTCGCCGTGCGCGCCTAATAGTCTTCCGTCCGATTAAACCGTCAACTGTACTCCTTACGCTACGCCGTAATTCTTCGTTATTCTAACAAACTCATCTCGTCCAGTCGACGCGACGCACACGGGTTTTCCGACGATGTAGGCCTTTCGTTAAATTTACGGTGTCGAGCTGACTGAGCCATCGAGGAAGAAGTACGCCCGTAAAAGATTTATTCCTATATCTCTGAGCTGAAGTAAAATTTCTTCGCGACATGAAGGAAAGAAATGGTAAAAATAACAGAGCGCGTTAAAGACAGGACACATTTGCGTAGAACATATGTATATCGTGGTTTAAGAACTACTTCTCCCATTTTACTTTCATGTTGTATAAAAACGTGTGGCGTGTTAAACGTACTCTACTTACGTCATGTAACGACCCGTAAAGAATGTTCTTATAAAATAGCCCTATAAGTATCTCTTCTCACTTTCCGCGCGTTATGACGTGTCAAATAATTAGAAGCCACAATTTTCGCTGTTGATGGAGATGCATTATTACACACACGCCCGACATCGTTCGCTCGACGGCTCGTGTACCTAATTGATACCGTCCGCCGACATTTGCGTTTAGCATTAAACAATCGTGCCCCGAGTCGACCGTTTATCGCACGGCGTGATTATCAATAAGGCGTGTATATATATATATGTATATCTATTTACAATATCATGGAAAATATACAAAGGACATCGGCACTACAGTATATATTCTCGATTCTTTTTAAGACGTTTGATTCTTGCGTATATGTCACTGAGGTAAGTTTTCACTGGTTTTTAAACTACGGTCACTCTCGCGTTGCACGCCCGAGAGAGCGAGGAGAAAATGCTCTCGGCAAACTGGTTCAACATCGATCCCAGAGGAGAAAGAACTAGCGAAGACCCACGCGCCGAATTGTGAGGACCGTTCTTGCAAAAGTCAACATCCACAACGCTACAAACTTTCTGATGATACCGTCGTACCGTCTTACTTCCGTAAGTGTGCACTTGTTGGAAGAAGTGATTGTAGAAAACTTTTTCACGTAACGATAATCAAAACGCGTTATCTCGTGCGTATTGTAGACATACGTGTTGCTGAGAAATTGAAAATTGTATGTTGCACGTAAGTAACTAAATTGCCATGTGAATCACAGTACAAACAATTAATATAACGTGAAAAATTGGAAATTCTTGTAATTGTTGAGTTTTGTAAAAACGGCCCTCGAGACTATATTCGAGCACGGGTTATTCGAGACAAAGGAGAAATCGGATTAAATTAGAAATGTCTTAACTTTAAACGGTCCCGTAGTGTATGTTTGTGAATGTGTGCGCATGTGTGTGTAAAGCGTCGTCTACAATGGCAGCAGGAGTATATGCAGTAAGACGTAAGCAGTAAGTTATCGACCAACCACAGTCGATTATTTTTGAATAAAAATCCCATTAGTCAATAACTTATCGCTTACGTCTTACTGTATACTCCTGCTGCCATTGTAGACGACGCTTAAGGGTGTGTGTACAGCCATTCGCCATATTCTTAAATTCTCCCTATTATCCTTCTCTCTCATCTTTGTTTTCGCACAGTATGCTTCACTGGAAACGTGTAGATTTCGAAGAATTGTCATTCGCGGCCGGTGATATGTCTTTCGCCATTCATCAAATGAAACGTTGCATTGCAACGCGCTTGGTCACGATGAAATGCTACGAACCGTGTCACGGGAAGCGATTCTCCTCTGTCGAAGATTTTTTTTTTGTGAAACTTAGCGAGTAATATGTGATATCGCGAATTTTTGATTTACTTTGATATAATTGTCCTTAAGTAGAGACGCGCACTGGGGGGAAAACTGCTCGTAAAATCTCCACGAGCTTTACATCGTCTACATCATCGATATTTGTGATGATGAAAGTGGCCTAAGTCACGATCACGTGGAAAAATTCAACTAATTATGCTCCTCGTTTTATAACGTTATACGTAGAACGTACCTTAAATCACAGAAAAGATATAGCAAAGGTAAATATTCTATATTTAAGCTTCGTAAATATGTTGAAAAATATTTTCTCATAGTCTTCTCCTAAAAATCTTATATATGCGTCACAAAGGAAAAGATATGACTCAGGCAACTTCCTGCTTCACGAAAAGACAGAACAATACGGTTTAGACAAGATTTTGCTTGCAGAAAAACCCGTCTTCGTGAATGGTCTGTGGTTTCCCGCAAATATACGGTAACATCAAGCAGTTATCTTTTGATATAAGAGTAGCTCCGTTTTAATCTCAGAAGCAAATATGCGCTTACAGACTCGTCGCGTTTCTGCGAACGATAATTTATTCGTACGTAAACTAGTTGTTTTATGTTGGCCTTCCTTACAACTGAGTTATATTCGTTATTATGACGGTATGTTATCGTCGTAGTTGACGTATTTACAGCGTATAATATAACACTAAAAAATCTGTACGCGGACCCGTATTGTTAAGTATTATGCAGCCGGTGCATTTACAACGAAATTTTCTCAACACCGATAATTAATGCGTGATTCAAAGAAATTCGGATCGTTAGTCGCGGAAAACGTAAATCAAGAATCGCGCGATCTTTTTTGATACTTGCATCTTCTTTATTGTCTATATATGTTTCCGAACGCGCCGAAGTTACCACGATGATGTAAATGTAAATACCTTCGAATTCATTGTTCGTCGATGTTTTTATTCTTGAAATTACGATTAAATTCTGCAATTAGTGCAATTTAGAGAAATATAATCACCGAATCAATGCGGCATCAAGTCGCAATTAAAGTATATAATTACAAGACTTTTTACAGACGAAACATAAACGTAATGTTTAATTGTAGAGCCATTCTTTCCAAGGAATTCTAAATCGATAGTATATTTTAACCCTTATTTCGAAAGTTTCATTTCATTTGAATTCACCTAATTAATATGATTTTTCAGAACGATCTAGGAATCTCGAAATTTGTTGTATGTTCTGAAAAACATCTAAATTAATTTAAAACATCATTAAAGAACAATCGCTTGTGTCGTTACTTGTTAAAAACACCGGATGCCGAACTTTGCAGCGGTTTCTGATTGCTACCGTATATTAAATCGCGTATTATTTAGTCACAGCGTGTTCCAAGTTTACGTCATTCAAAGAACATCGTTTAAGAAAATGATCGCGCGGATCATATAAGTTTAAAATGGTTCAACGAGCCTGTAGCACGACATCGTCACAGTAAAACAATGATCCATACATTGTGTATAGCCTTCTAAAAAAATGCATTATTCTCTACGGATAGTGTAATGAAGGTTCGTTCGCAAAAATATCTTTTTAAAACTATACACGTTTGTTTACGATCGCCCGAATACGTGGGCGAGTACATATTTTCGGGAAACATCCATGCCTCCCAATTGCACGTGTAAATTGTAAAAATCGCGCGCAGTAACCGGGAGATCGTATTAATATACATATTATCGTAGAAAGTTTGCGTACCAAACGTCGTCCTTTGTGTTATCTCATTAAAGGAATCGTTCGTCGAGTAAATTAATTGTATGACAAATTATTCATCTGTGTGATAACGGTAATCTTTCCTTCTACCAATTTAGAAACGCCTGTGAGAAGCTATCGTTTTTCTACTTACTTTCTGTGGTTACATACACATCTGTTAGGGTAAATAATCTAAGGATGCATGCCGTAGGCCTATTTTTGGTGAATCGGCCGTAGTGTTTCCTGTATGTCGCTATTGATTATTTGCAATTGCAATTTTACATGCCTGACCGTTTCTCTATTAAAAACGGATGTCGTTTGTTACAAAGAGAATACGCTAAAGATGTTGCATCAGATGCTACGGTTGCTTAGGCTTCATGTCGATAAATTTACACAAAAATAAAAAACGTTTGCCAGTATCGTAATATAGCTCTATATTTAACGCGACGTTCTCCGTGGCCATCGCTTCTGCATCCAAGAAATCAAAAATTCTTTTTTCAATCTAATAAAATCATAGACGAGCCTTTTGATTATTCTCAAAGACGTTCCATTTTATCAGAACGTCCCAAAGCGTATTGATTAAGTTATGAGAAAGAATTTTAACATGTAGGGATAAAATTGTACATTTTGCTCGAAGATTATTCGGATGCAACAGATCACAGCGATCACCGAGATACAGTGTGTCGTGGTTAGGGTGATTCCCTTTTATATCATTCGTATCGTATTAACATAGCATCGTAGCATCACATATTTCTGCACCAATAGATTCGACCTCATCTGTCACGTTAGATTCGTTACATGTAATAGAATCCACGTCACAGCTGCACTAAATTGTGCCCGCACGCCACAACCGCTACGTATGGTCGCGATTGTGATTAATAGTTGTCGATTGAAGCAAACGGAAATGTATCGGTAAATTTGTGGGACGTGTAATTCGTGTAGATTTGTTGTTAATAATTTATTAAACTGAAAGAGCTGGCTAATTACATTTCTGCGCGAAGATCGTCGACACTTTACGATTTACGACAGGCGAGAGTTGTCGATCGGGGATGTTCGCTAAACAATCGTGATCGACACGGATCACCGACAATGTTTCTGTTCGGCTTTGGCATGGTCCACAGTGGCCACGGCTCTCTTCGATGACCTCTTGGCTTCCGATCTACCGGCGCCATTGATACCCTTCGAGCTGGTTGCCGGCAGCGATGTCACCTTGGACGACTTTTTGATATCTTTTTGGTCGCTGGAGGCTTCTGTTATCTTGTCCAGTTCCGCCATCGCCTCTTGTATTGCGTTTTCCAATTGCATATTCAATTTACGACTTCTAGAAAAATAGGGGAGGAACGAGAAAATCGTACAGTTAGTACAGATGATTACTGGCGATCGCGCGTGCAATTCGATCCCGATCAGAGCAAGAAAAATCTAAAAGCTGAACAAATCGCGACTAACAGATTCTGTCAAGCACCAATGAATCAATTATATTATCAAACGAAAAATAGCTAGACAATAATTGACGATACTTTCTTGCCGAAAAAAATTGCATAAACCAATTGCATATAGAAAAATGTATATATTTTTTTTTTCTTAAGAAAAATTGTACGAATTAAATGTTTTTAACACTTATCTGCGCGATCACCTATCGTCGCATGTTATAAAACCAGAGCTACATATTTTAATACAGATACAGAGAAAGGGGAATGAGAAGAAAGATGGCTGAGATTGGAGTAAAACCACTTAACATAGTAATGTCCAGCACATAAAAGTATCAGTATTTTTTGGCAAGTTAACAAGAAGAATATTGAACCGCAGCTATGCAATAAGCTATGCGGGATAGATTTAATTGGCTGTTGGCTTGCTAATAAATGCTATACGGTCACGATCATTAACAAGAACTCTTCTGTAAAGAGATTTACTCCCATTAAAAATTAATTCATTATTGAGAGATTCTGTAAAACGTTCGTGGACCTTTCTCTTACTTCCGCCGCATAATGCGATAAAAAAGTGGATATCTTGTATCAAATTCACGGAGATCTACTTCGTGCATTTATAGCATTTATCGCTCTTTATTTATTCCTCTTTAAAAAAATAGTATAATTAATTTATACTAGTAAATTGGAATTTGTATAACAATCACGTGCATCTTACGCAGCCCCAGGAAAGCGACATTGTGCAACTCCACTTTATAACATTTAATAACGCTAAATAAAAGAATAAGTTAACGTGCCTGTGTCACAGTTCTAGGTTCGAATGCCGGACGTAGAAAAGAGATAAAATAATATAATATATAAAAAAAACATACTCAAGCATCTCCCGTTCTATTTCCCCCTCGATACATTTTTGCGTTAACGCGATATCTGTTAAGGCAACGAGACGTCTCTAAGAGGCTCTCATCTTTCGATAGTTCATCCCTGTCGGGGTGGCTGACTCACTTCCTAAACTTTTTACGGGCGCGGTGATGCGCCTCGAGGCCTTCGGAGAGGGACTTGAGAGCCTTGACATCGACTTGGGTGCGACCGCCCCCGCCCCCGTACCACCGAACCCAAACCGTCATAGTACCCGGGGGGCCCAAAGACTCGACTTTTCCCGGCCAGGCCGGACTTCCTCTTGCTGCGCCCCACACTAGGTCACCGACCATCAGTTTCCATTGGTTCCCGTCGTCTACGTCCTTTGTCTCTGCTACTGAAGGTTCCAAAGAAGGTATGGTGTTTTTCAGACTTTTATGATCTCGGCTGATTTCCGCGAAATTGAAAAGAAGATAACATAAAGATAGCCCATCTCCGAAAAAAAAAAACATTTTTTTTTTACAGACATATTAGATAGAAAACAGTCATGAAGTCGTGTAATTTTGAAATTTTGAAAAATGTAAAGATTACAAAATGGATTAATTAATAATCAATTCTAAAAATATTATAATATCAATATTTCTTATTAAAAAACAAATTGTGCACCTTTTGTTATCACGATTAATTAACAAGATAACAAGAACAATTTATTTCGATGAATCTAGTATGCATTATTGCGTACAAAACTCACTTTTTAATTTTACATGAATCGTCTTACAAAGATCGTTACGTACAAAGAACAACGTAATGCTTTAAAGCGTTGAACTTATAGTATATGTATTATAAATATACTTGGCACAATTATCTACAAGTTTACTATGGCCGAAACAATCGACGGAATTTTTGTCACTTATTGTTGGAAATGGCTCAACTTTACTATACAAAACATGTTAATATAAATATAGACATGACACGACACCGCGTAATTTCCATCTCATACATCTGTATCGATCTCGAGTAAAATGTGCAACGCATAACAGCAAAACGTTCCGGTATGCTTATGGTGCGTATTGCAGAGGGATGTTCGAAACTGATGGTTCAACTACTTGTCCAGTAGTATCGCAACAATGTGCTTCTTGCTCGCATGTGTGTGCTCGTTAAAAATGATTAGTAGCTTCATTCAATGGTGGTAGGCGAGATCAGAGGCAGAATGAAATATCAGATGGTTCGAGCACATGCAATGATTTTGTCGAATAAATGTTGCTCGTTCTATAATTCCCTTCTCCATAATTTGTTCGCGAGATCTCTTCATGTGTCTGTACACATCGTTCGAACGAATTGATCTTTATAGAAACCAGATTTTCAAGTTGTAATACATTATAAGCTCTATTGTTCTTGATTTCGTTGGAGATAAAAAAAGATATACATTTTATGGTAATTCATTCAATTTTGAATATAATCCCCTTTAACAATGGAACAATTGGATTTTTTGCGCTGTTATAGATGCGTAATCCAACTTTCATTATTTCATTATTATACCTGACTAATCTCACATTTATATTTCATTATTTCAATTTTAAACAATCCCAATCGCTGCGGAATAATTCGGAAAAAACCTGCGTCCTTGGGAATATGCACATGCTGTACGCAAAACATGATGGTGTATATGTACAAGGTACGTCGAAATAACACACGGTAGTGAGCCACACCCCTTCCGAAATGAACGTATGATTCAAGCCCTTGGCCACTCAGATGAGAATGTAATTGCGAAGGTAATGGTATTAACAAACCTGACAGCCAATTAGTAAACGCAAAAAAAAAGGAACCATCGAAAACATTATGTACAAATGTCGAAATTATTTCTTTATTTCCGTAAGCGACTCATTGGAGACACGTACATGATGAACGAAAGGTCTCTTTTCCATTTAGTATTGACGCCACTTACCTGCTCTCCTCGCCTTCTCGTTAATGTGGTTAATAATGCGACGTTACAACGAATAAGTTGATATCATAGACTGATCTGAAGAATTCAGCTTCGACTGCTCGATTTGCACAAAATGGTGCATTCTTCCGGCTTAAAATCTCGATATAAAAGAGGAAGCGATTTTTCAGCCCATTCTTGCGGCCAATTCACGCGCAAGATCCCGAATATTGCAAAAAAAGCTTTACCAAAGCAATTGCAATGCGACAAGCGTATATTTCATCATGCGATGACGTTACCAAGCATGCACATACACAAGTGATATAATAAATTAATAAGTAAGCTACTAGAGCAGGAAAAATAATAGCATACATGATTTTCGATCGAAGCAGCAAGCCAAGTTAGATAATGCCGATGATTTTATAATTTATGAGTACGTCTCTAAATTACAGATTTTACTGAAGGCGAAATTGTAATTGAAACACTCTTAACAATAACATTCATACGATAATTATTTAATGACAAAGAACAACGAGAACCATCGTTTTTCTGTCATGGACGAAGAAGAAATCAGTATAAATCAGCAATGCAACGAACGATGCTTCGCGTTTCTCGTAGTCATAAATAGCAACTAATAAAAGATATCCTGCCAAAGAAACTTTTTTACGATACATGTATCAAAATAAAATATTTTATTTTATTTAACTAAATACTTAACTAAAATAAATAACTTGCTTACTAGTTTAATGTTTGCCATTAAATCATAAAGTTTAAAAATATTAAATATTAAAGTTTAAATATTTATCTTTTCAAAATATATGGAAATATTAATCCTAGTGTATTATTTTATTAAAAATTTTGAAAGCCTGCGTTCTCGTAAATCCATGTTACTTCTTTTCTCGCCGGGCGTTATCAAAGTTTCTTCGTAGAATACTTTTACTACTAAGCGGGACTACTTGTATACGATTAACGACTAAGAGTACCATACAATACTGACCATCTTGGTCTTCATGCAGAGTAGAATGCATGGAATGGATGGAGTCCAGCTTTCGCTTGATTCCGCGGCCGAGGGCATGTTCCCTGCCCTCGCACCTCACCGTGCTCACCACACCTTCGGCTTGCTTCAACGTCTCTGACGTATAGATCTGTCAAATACAACTCGATCAACTCAGGCACAAGCCTACCAATCGCATGCTAATATCATTTCATTTCAGTGTATCATTCAATGCCGATGTATTATCTTTTCTCACTTTTTCACTTAAATTCCGTTCCATAGTCCACAAAAACTTTACAGTTTCACCCGACCGAGCATAGGAGACAAGAGCGTTTTGCAAAATTCTAATTTACAGAAAAGTAAAAAAAGAACAAAATAATAAATAAAAAGAAAAAAAGATTAATCGGAAGATTCGAAAGCTATAATATCCTGATCTTTTGTCTCCGATGCTTTTTAATGCAGAAATCACGCGACAAATTTAACTCATCGATACATGCAAACGATAATGATATACCAAAAGAGACAAACTCAAACTCTGTTTACGCATGCTTATGTTGCAAGGTAATTTTGAATCAGGTATATGTTTAAAATCATATAACTTTTATCAGAAGATACTTTAGTAAAAATTTATTTTTTCGTTATTATATAAAAAGGAGTAATTTCCTGATTAATCCGATCAACACACGATTAATAATACAATTACATTATTGCAATAATGTACGATTTAAATAATAACGCTGCAAATAAACCAACGTATGCGCTCTCACGCCACAGCGCGGATGTAAAAATTATTAAATACAAACTAATTACAAACTTAATATTACCGAGTATAAACCGATCGCAACCTAATAATGCCACTGGTGTCGGTTTCAATTCAATTTACAAAATCAATTAATTTTAGAAGAAAATGCCGTTTATGGTCCAAGCTGGATCTTGGTAGTCTAATAATATTTCTGTGTATTTTCAAGTACACAAATTTCCAACCTAGTAAACTGTGTTGGTCAATTGTTTGTCGGCTTTAAAACACAGGTTCCGTTGGAACAATAAAATCCCCCTGTACTTAAATCAATAATCGGCATAAAATAACACTTCAGATCACTTCAGCACACTTTAAAAATACTCCAAAAACTATCCCTTTCCCTTGACAGTTAATAAATAGCCGTAAAATGGATGTAATACAAAGCCTAGTTATCTTGTTTGTCTTAATATCGCGAAAAGAAAGATGCGACTACGCATCCGACGACGAGTCACTCTCCTCAGCGTCATCGTCATCTTGCGCATATATGAACTGATTGTAAACATATGGATTAATGTAGGCTTGCTTATTAGGTGTGTAATTAACAACAGCAATACTATTAGGGTCAGACCTATAATTATACAAATGTGGATACAAGCCGGATGGCCCGATGCCAACGAATTTTTGTGGATAGTCAACATTCTGCGGACAATAAGAAACACCGGTATTTGGCCTTTCCAATGATTTTTCTTCGGAATTTTGCTCGATCTCGTCTTGCTCCATGACATGCTGGACCATTTGATTACCAACGCGATTGCTATCGACGCACGATTTGTCATTGAATTTGCCATTAATTTGCGGCAACATGGTGTAATGAGCGTGGTCTGGCACTAAGGCTTGCTGTCGATAAACATTCGCATTGGGGACATAGTGCTGGCCATGATAAAGGATTGGCTGGTAATGACCGTGACCTATAATTGGCAACGGATTGACCTCGATCTCCGAATAGGAAACGTCCGTCATTTCTTTACTGACGTTTAGTTGATCTTCCACGGTAGAGTGGTCCATTGTGTCTGAATTAATGGAATGATTTGGTGATGATGTGTCCATATGCTCCTGTGAGTCAGCGTATGTGTTTTCTGGGTGTGTCGTATCAGCCGGCTGGTGCATGTCTATTACAGTTAGATGACGGTTGACCTGCTCTACGTGGGTACCAACCTGGATCCCAGTTGTTACTGTTGACTCTACATAGGTCTTTCCGTGTAGACTCGGTTGATTCAACGTAATCTCCTTGGTAGCGATACCCTGCATTCTCCAATCCTCCGACGCCACCTGCGTGTCGCCCGAGTCCGGTTCGCTGCTCGACACGCAATGAACCATAGGCTGAAAATAAATTGCATGATATACAAATTAATGAATATAATAATTTTTTTATTAAACAAGACTCTTACATTTTAAGCTGCAATATCAAAAATATAAAAAAATTGAATATTTTTCTTTTTCTTACTAAGAGATGAAATATATGTTTCAAATATAATTGAATAAACTACTTTTGCTTCAAATTATTCTTTACCGTGGACGACGAGTGATGTCTAGCAGTGATCGGAGGCGCTGGCGAGGCTGCACCGTGTGTAGTAGTGTCCACGGCCGGGCTGTTGGATCTCTGACTGTTTCCTGGACTATGGGTGGTCGTGTCGGGAGGAGATCCTTGCCGCATCATCGCCGATTGCGCAACGTTCGTTTGGTTCCCTGCGGTTTGCGTCGATACAGAATGCCTTGCCATCAATGGGCTGTGCTGTTCATTTTGTTGACCCGTTTTCTCCACGACGGTCGTGCTACTACTAGCGAGCACGTATTGCTGCTGTTCAACATTCTGATCAGACGACGGCGAATTTACGCCGCTCTTCGGAGAGGATGACGCCGCTTTACCCTGAATCATACCGGAACTTAGGATGTATGACTGATTATGATCGAGATTTAAAGAAGGATCGACTGTTTGTCCGCCGTTAGAAGCTGCGTTTTGAAAATTTGGTATCTGATTGTTTGAAACCATGGTCGTCTGCTGCTGTACGATCGTCGTGTTCTGTTGAACAAAAGTTGTGTTCTGTTGATTTGATGCTGAAGAGACGGCAATGTTCTGTGCGGTTGCGCAAGGTACCATAAGCGTTTGCCCATTCATTTGTATGAACTCCTGTTGACCTTGCATGTTTGATGGTCTCACTTGCGAGGTGTTGAATGTCACTTGCTGATTCGGACTAACATTGGCCACTATCGGGCTCAGTTGATTCCCAAAGGATGTTGTACCGTTCACTAAGAACTGGCCGCTATTCGGTGAAAGAAACTGCGCTCCTGGACTGTGTTGTTGAATTATCTTTCCACCGGTTGCTTGCGGCGCTCTTATAACCATGCCAGCTGGACCGGCAGCTAATATGCTTTGACTCGGATTGAATATTCCACCGTGACTTTGTACCGGCGTCAATACGTTCTGGCCATTGACATTCTGTATCTGAAGTTGCATCCCGATGTTACCCGTATCCTGCAATAACGTGGCCGTTCCGTCTGCAGACATTACCATGCTACCCAAACCAGGCACGATAAATTGTTGGATAGTAGGGAAATTCTGAACCATCCCGGTTGTGCCGTTCAATAAATTCACCGGTTGAAGAAGATTTATCTGTTGAGCTGGTTGAGGATTTGTGATTATTTGCTGAGTGTTAAATTGCGCGGACGCTGCGCCGGTCTGACCGTTCATCACTAGCTGCGCTGGTGCCCCGCCTTTACCAGGCACGATAGTTAACGCCTGGAGCATGGGTCCGCCTATGCTCTGAGTCTGAAAGTTTTGCTGAGCGAAGTTTGATTGCGACTGCATCAACATACCAGCGTTTTGCTGGGACGAGGCAATGTGTAGCATTGACGCAACGGTTTGTGGATTCGCTTTTCGTTTCTTGTATGCCTTTTTCTTGGTCATCGCCGATTCCGGCGATAATAGCGCCGGTTGTCGATTCACCGTCATGCCTTGATTGGCACCAACCGTTCTGGACACGTCCTGATTTGCGTCAATGATAGACTGAGTGTTTTGTATGACGTTACCAGTGGCAACTGTCAGATGTGGTATCTGCACGTTCTGTCCTATGCTGTCCATCGTCATTACACCAGGTTGAATCAACACCGGAGTCTGAATAGTATTCACGAGCACTGTAGGTTGCCCTATCACTTGCTGGGCTACACCCACCGCAGGGATTACTTGACTGACGGCTCCGGTCACGCTGGTTACCATCGGTGATACCGACAATGGTGGCATAGAATTGGCATTGGAGATGATTTTCGGTGGAGGAGGCGCCATTACGCCATTAATAGCCGATCCAGTACTCGCCATTATGAGTTGACCGCCACTGGACACCAATATATGACCAGGTGGTAGCGTTGATCCAGCAGGATGTTTCAATATACCTCCTGAAGTGAGAACGTTGTGAACTTGAACATTGGCTTGCGGATGTTGTTGCTGTTGTGGTTGATGCTGCTGCTGTTGCTGCATTTGTGGCTGCAACGATGAGTTTGTACTCGTCTGAGGTACTTGTATGCTGCTAACGACGCTCTGAACCATTTCGAGCGGTGATTTAGACACGCTCATCGTCGAAGATTGACTAAGTGAAATAGAGGAGTGAGTCGTAACTGGAGTGCCCGGCACATTCGTCAATACCGTAGATTGTGTTTGATGCTGTGGCTTATTCGGCAGAAGACTGGGTATAGCGGGATTCGGTATCGCAGATGGTGTGTTTATGGAAACAGTGGCTGTGTTCGCCCTTCCAGCTAATACAGATGTAATTGTGTTACTGCTAACTGTATGACCGCTTGCCATAGTTGTTATCACGGATGACGTTCCTCCAAAAGTGTTTATGGGTATCCTGGAGACAGCATTGACGGTGTGTGGGTGAGGTTGATAGCCATCTAGAGAATTTTGCCTTGTTATTTGCCGTTTTACTTGTGATGTTAAATTTTCCGACACAGAGGAAGATGTCTGTGACGGCGAAGTACTAGGTGGAATACCACTGGAACTCATCGTGCCAGAACTAGAAGTCTCCGATCTTTGTTCTTGGATGCTGCCACCGATTAAGGATTGTGACAGCTGCTGTTGCGCTTGTGGAGTTAGTGTTTGCGATGGCATTTGGCCCGAGACGTGCGAATGAGGTGTCGGCGGTTGCGAATAACTATGTGGTGTCGCCGGCTGCGACGAAATGAGACTCTGCGGGGTCGCCGGTTGTGAAATTCCAGGCGTCGAAGCTGCTGGCGTGTCTGAATTAGCTGGACTATTCGTGCCGATGGGAGATCCATGACTGGTGCTCACAGTACCGCCTTGTATAGGTCTAGAATCAGCTTGTGGTTGATTATTCGTTTGATATCGCTCGCCGAACGTCGACGATGTAACAGGATCTTCGCGCTGATCCGTGTGCATCAGGTACTGTCGCTGCATCTGCTGCTTATACTGATCCTGAATGTAGGACTGTGTATCGGCGCTGGTGGCGCAGCCTTGACATGGACTGCTCTCGGAATCCGTGCCACTGCTTGATGTCGGCGTCATACTACTGTGTACAACAACTGGCGAGGTCGCGTGATTTTTTACGGAAGCAAATGACGAGGTACTCGTAGGACTGGCGATAGAGGAAGGCTTTGGTTGAGGAATATAGGTGTTAGGCACATGCATGCCGTGACTGTTCTGAGACGATGCTTTCGAATTATTGTTCAACATGCTCACTTGAGAACTACTGACACCGGTCTGTCTCGATATCGTGCTGTTTAACAGCGCCGTTTGCTGAGCGAGGTACCCACTGGGATCCTCTAGGAACGAAGGACCGCTGCTATTGAACGTTGAACCTATCTGACCATTATTTTGCTGATTCTCAGTGAATTCGTCTACTGGACTCGGTGTCGAATGTTCCAATGTATTGTTCGTTCTCGATAACTCTGCAACTCCATACTGTCGCTGTTTCTTCACTGTTATTTTGTTCGACTTTGCCTTTTTCCGTCCGGTCTCGTCCGTCCAATTGGAAGGCTGTGGAATGTGATGATGAAGCGGTGGTACACGGTCAAACGAATTGCAGGTAATGTTTTGAACTGTGACGGACGGTTGATGGGATGCAACCGCGGCACGATTTTGTTGCCACGGCGGTGTTCTGTTGTTGAAATGCATATTGCCGGGCTGCCCGTTTGGTCCCATACCAGACTGCTGCACCTCAACAGCGTGACTAGTGTTCGGGCTTCGTCCCGTGTGATTGGACAGAAACTGCTGTTGATGTCCCATCTTAGCATCTGTATTCGTCCCCTTTGAAGGATCGAAATTTCTTGCCGGATATTGTACTTGATTCTGAGTGTACATCCGTTGAACATTTTCATGATTATTTGGCAAACCGCCATTTTGGACCACATGATGTCGCTGCATCGAATGATTATGTAACAAAAGTTGTTGCTGTTGCTGTTGTTGTTGTAACTGTTTCGCATTTAGATCTTCATCAACTGATGGTGCTCGATTATGCCTATTCTGAATGTCAATAGCATTGATATTGGTCATGACGGCAGAACCAGTTTGCTGCTGCATAATATCTGCGGAGTGATGATTCAATTGTTGGTTCGAATATTGCGGCTGAATGCACACCTGCGACATTTGCTGCTGATGCTGTTGCTGCTGCTGTTGTTGCAGTTGCTGCTGAATCTGCATCTGGAAGTGATCTGTCGACTGAGGTTGCATAACGTGCTGATTCTGTTGTGACTGTTGTGGTTGCATTTGGTGTTGATGAAGCTGATGCAATTGCGGATGGAGGGCGGTTTGATTCGGCACTTGTGACGACTGCATGTGATGCACATAATTCTCAACTGAATGTTGAGTATTATAATTTGCTGACTGTTGTTGATCCACTTCCTGAGCTAAATGCTGTTGTTGTTGCATATTGTGTTTTTGGATTTGTTGCAAGTGCATCTGTTGTTGTTGTTGCTGCTGCTGCTGTTGTTGCTGTTGCTGATTCAAATGCTGCTGCTGCTGCTGTTGCATTACATGTAACGACTGCTGATTTAGTTGATTAATATAATGAGGAGCCTGCTGTTGCGCTAATTGATTTACTACGGTGTTCTGATGTTGTTGCTCCTGTTGTTGTTGCTGTTGTAAAATTTGCATATGTTGCAGCTGCTGCTGATGTGGCAACAACTGCTGCGATTGTTGCTGCTGCTGCGAGATATGCTGCTGGATGAGCTGCTGCTGTTGCTGCTGCTGTTGCTGTTGTAGAATAAGCTGTTGATGTTGCTGTTGTAAAAGCTGCTGTTGCTGTTGAGTCATATTATTGAAATTTGTGCCCTGCTGATTCATAATCAACGGATTGCCCATCAGCATGCCCGACATATTATGTTGATTTAGCCTTTGCTGAGGATTTCTTGCACAACTGCTCACGTCATGATTCTGGGAAGGCGAACTTAAAGACTGATGACAGATTTGTTGTCCGTTCTGCTGAACTTGCAGATTCGGGATCGTAATCGGCCATACCTAAAAATCAAATAAATCTAAATTAAATAAATGTTAATAATATATAAATAAAAATATACATTAGTTTACTAGATTCTAGTAACTTATATTAACATTGAATAATTCTTTGTTAAAAACCGAGTAAAATATAAATCTTTTAGTTGCGTAATTTCTGTAATATATTATATAATATAAGATTACTATGTTTAATATTGTGTGAAACACTCGGCAAAAAACACAACTCCCGACTTAAGAAGGAGATTGGTAATTTGCGATTCAATTAAAGCTACGACTCAATTACCTGCGATCCATTAGGCACCGGTGAACCTTGAACTCCAGATGCCGCAACCGCGGCAATAGCTCTCTCCCGTTGTGCCAGAAGTTGCGAAACCGAGACGCCGGAATAAATGCCGCCTATGCCTGCTAGTTTCCTCTTCTTCTTCTTGCTGAGACCATCTGCGCACGCCAATAAAGTATCTCTTAATAAACCGGAATCCAATTACCTTCGATTCGCCGGCATCTATTTGAAATTGAATCGACAAAGGCTTTTCCCGTCCGGAGCGCAATTGTGGAAGACGATAAGTCCTCGGCGCTGTAGAAATTAAAATACGACTTATTCGCCCTAATCCCGCGCCGCTGGCTTTCTCGCTTATTATTCAGACGACGTTCCAAGCTTCTTAATGAAGCAAGTGTTCCATTTGAAATCCTGCCGCAAGGTTAAATCGTATTTAGCCCGACATTTCCGTGCTTTAACTCCCCGTGCTTTTTGAAACGCCGACCTTTCCTTCGGTCTCATTATTATTCCGGAAAATATCTTTCGCGAAATGAAAATATTGTCGGTAATAGATCAAGAAGCGTTACAGAATACTAAATCAGCCAATGTAATTAACTTGTTAAATATTTAAAGCAATATTATAGCATACGAGCAATATTAAACATTTTTCACGTATAACAAAAAATTTTAATTATTACCATGAGTCATTATTCTTGTTGCAACAGATACAACTATATAATCGGATAATTTAAATTATATAAACTCATCATATATAATAAAAAAGAAATTTGTAATAGCAGAAAATAATATTGTTAATGTATTAATAATCTAAATATAAATAAATCATATATCTTATCCCAGAAAAGTTCTGGAAACTACATTAAACTTTTATAAGATAGATATTTAAATTATCATTCAATGAATAATAAATTGCGCGATAACAAAATTGAATACAGAATAAAAATATATATCATATAATATTAGCATTAATTTACACTGATAAATATTGTACGTAATGAAATAAAACAAAAATATGAAATGATACAAAAACCGGAATAGCAAAAAAATGTCTAATTTCTAAAAGATTTTTAAAATGAAACTAGATTTATAATGCTTTTGAAACCCTATTATCTTGCATATTCACGAAGAACTACCGTAAGGGCCATCGACACTTCCGAATTACCGTGATTTACGAGACGTGTTAGAAGCAGGAGGGATAAGGTATTCAGAGGCGATAGGCTAAGGGGATCTTTTATCTGTAAGCCTACAGAGGATAATTATTCTCCGTGCGCGCCGACTGAGGCGAGAAAGAGGGAGCCGGATAATTCTCGACGAAGAGGGAGAAGCATGAAAACGATGAGAAGCGAAAGCAAAAGAGAGGGGTGTGGAGGGGTGGGTAGTAATGAATCTACGATGGCAGTAAGGCAACTTGTCCGTCCTGACGACGGTAGTTTAACCCGATTTTCAAGAGGGAGAACGGTAGATTTGCGTAAAATCTTTGGATCCATTTTGTGGCTTCCGGGGTTTTCGCGCGAACGCGTAAAGTCTCCCCGTCTACTTGGAATGCCTGCAGTCAATGGCTCGAGCAATAAACGTTCTCGTCGTTAAACCCCGGTGAAAGAGGGCGACGTAGTAATTGGAAGATGTAGTTCGTCGTTTGCGGCTGTTTCCAAACGCCACCTTACTCACTTAAGCACGTTGGGGCATTCGTTGCTGACTTTGCTTGTAACAAACGATCAAATTTATTTCAACTCAATTTATATGGACTCTATCTGTTCTCTCGTTGTCCCAATTAAAAGTAATAAATTTCTCTATTAAAACTTTGAATTTTTAAAGTATATTAAATTATAGGCATTTTATTACCACTCACAGCAGAAGGAAAAATTTAAACGTAGTACAGATAAATTTTAAGAACCGTAATTGTCGAAGCATTTAAATGACAATTAAAATAATTGCAAGTAAATATATGTGGTGCACGTTTACAAAAGGACGATTCTAAATCCTCGAAAGTCTCACTTAATACCGCTCGAGCTAAAATCAAACGCACCTGTAAAGGTGACATTCGTAAGATCGCGGGATAGATCCACTCCCTATCGGTCTCACTGACGCAGCATCATCGAGAACGAACGCTGATGGCATCGTCGGCGTTGTAACTACGTCTATAAGAGTAGACGTAGACGAGCGTCGCGAGTCTACGTTTGCGAGCTTCAACTCCAGTCTCGCGAAATGACTCTCTTCAATGCGAGCATAAAAATCCCGTCGGGATCACGCCGTTACGTTACGCCAAGGCGTTGATGCGGACTGAGCGGAACGGGGTCGAAATGCGCTTGCGCGACCAACCGACGGAAGTGGGTGCAAGGGTTGCCCGAGGGAGAAACAGAGAGAAGAATAAGGACCCTCCGCCGAGGCAACGAACGTCACTCCCGGGGCAGGCGCAAGAATCACAATCGGACGCAGTTGTTGGACCGCAAGGCTACCTCCGTTCTCCCCCTGTCTGCGCGCGACCATGGCTCGCCTCTCCTCTCGTACGAAATTAACCCTTATCAACTCCGTGTCTACCACCACCGTGGGGGGGTCTCCCTCTCCAGCAACTCCACCAGGACTATAGCCTGGCTTCTTTCACTCTTCTTCCTCTTGTATCCACCACCATCGCCATCCCCCATCTCCACCATCAGCCGCACCCGGTCGCGGTAACATTCTCGTTCTCGTCATCATCGTCGTCGTCATCGTCGTCACAGGCAGCGAAGGGAGAACGGATTCTTTCCTCTCTACCCGGGACTTTATTGATCGCGATAAGAAGGTACAACCGGCCGATTGGTCTAAGATGGTCGCGTCGAATCGCCACGACGAATATAGCCGACAGGAAATATCCTAAGATTTATTCTTTCTTGATGGAATCGGACTAATTCGTATTAATTCTTTATCCGCTTATAATAAAACTTGTACGAGGTCTCTCTCCCTCTTCATTTCCTCATTTGATTTATACAATGTCTTAAATTGTGTATATCTCATTAACCGAGATTTGCCTTTCCAGCTTGCTTGGGGTGGGTTGTGTTTACTACGTTTCACCCCTATACTTACTTCCTTAACAGAAGATTATTTCTCGCAAGAACATCCTATGTAAACAGAAAGTCTTCAGAAAAGAATACGAGCCCAATAGACCGACCGCCCGTCAGGCGGGCGATGTTAATCTGTTTACTCGACACGATATCCTCAGTGGGCAACGAAAACAAACAGACTCGCGTGCAGCAAAATCCACCGAAGGAATTTTTAAAGTTTGCCACCTGCAACGAAAATCCGATAAAGGGTGGCTGTCGCACGAGGGGGAAATTAGAGTTCGTCGCCCGTAAAATCGCTTCTCAGTGCTTTCGGGATGTCGTCGTAACTGCCGCGTACTACGTCGAGGACAAAAGTGATCGATCGAGCTCCGGAGGAAACTGTTTACGGAGAAAATTATTTAGGACGATAAAAGATCGCGTAAACCGCGCCCTAGATTTGGACGGATTGGCGTTACGATCGATTGAACAATTGTATGACGCGTGATGATTCTCGTTAAACGCGCCTATTGACATTTCCAATCGGGTAATGAGGTTGGGGACTTAATTATCCTAATTAAGCATTGAACAACCGACTACATTTTACCTCGCGATATACATAGTGAAAATATTCCGTTTAAAATGTTTTACTTGTCATTAACTAAATGTATAGAAAAAGAGTTGACAAAATAATAAAAAGCATTTTAAATCACTGCAAACGATTCTCTAATCAACTCTATCAAAAATTTTATTTAATACCCATACAAATAATTATGTATGAAAAAGCTGGGTATTTTACATTATATTTGGAAAAAGCTAGTAAGGCAATTAACGTGTTGTCAAACTTGTACGTCGGCAAATTGCTTCGAATAATTGCGACTTCCACTTTGCTCTCGTGACCGATAAAACTGAAACAGACGTTCAATCATTCCTACTCCCAGCGCGGTAATATAATCCATCGTACGTAAGCGAAGACCCTTCCTCTTAAGCCGGCAAAGTCAAACTGAAAATCAGAAAAAGGGGGAATTAAATCGGCTCCCAGCGGGGAGTGAACGCGTTATGAAAACTTGGAGCTCGACGTTCGCCGATAAAGATTCATTCGAGCCTCTCCACTTATTCCCTTTGCCGTTCTTTTCCCCTGTCGTGGGATGTATGTATGTGTGTGTATTTGCGCAGAGCGCGCGAACCCGAATGCGAGCAACCCCTGACGGCGCGCCAGAGAGAAGAGAAAGTCGGGGGAAAAAAAGCCAACCCTACCATCCAGAGCGTGTCGTTTTATATCACCGGAGAATTGGAATCGAAGCGGCGCGAGCGCGCGCGTCGATGTTAAAACGACCCTATAAAGTCCCATAAAAACACCGCCACCGACGTATACGTATTATCCTACCTCGCACACCGGCCGTAAACTCGAGTTAAACTTCAGCTCCAGATTTCCAGATGCAAGCGCGAAACTACTAGCCTCCCTGCGACGCGCGACGCTGCGCACGAGTGCGCTCATGTGCAATGGAATGCATCGTGCTAATCTATTTGCGAGCGAATCGATTCATTTTTATTATCGAAAACGTTCGTTGTCGTAGAGCAACACACTATACTTGGATTGGGATTAGTAAATCACAATTGCAAATAAAAATCTATAACATTGGTCTATTTTGTAATATGTTAATTAATATTTTTTATATCATATTTATGCTCCAAATATATCATTTTCGCGTTGTATTTTCGAGTAATTCGACATCGAAGCGTTTCCAGCCCCGCTGCGAATAATATTAAAACGCGCGCAGTTACGACGTGCGCAGGGTGAAAGTTTAATAACCGTTGGTCGCCGACACGGCCGCGCTCGGCTTTCAATCTACAAGCGGATTATAATTTCTAGCCGACGCAATTTGGAGTACAGGTAGAGGTAGAGGTACGCCGGGAACGCGTCCGTCGCGTCCTGCAACAGCCGCTTAATTAACGGCGCGAAAAGTAAGGGAAAAAGGAAGGGGGTGGGTTGGGATAGAGGGGGGGGAGTGAGAAAAGAAGCAACGGCGGGATGGGATACGTCGGTTATGGGATTTGGTAATGAAATTCGGTGGAGAGTTTGGCGGCTACGGTGATACATCATTCCTCCCTGCCTGCACTCCCCGTTTTCCGCCCTCCGTCGCGCTTCTCTCGAGCTTTAATGCCAACGTGGCGGGCGAAGAACGATTCGGAAGCGGAAGGGGGAGAAAACGAAGAAAAGAGTCGGAGGATGAGGAGGGGAGTGAGTGAACCGACTTCGCTAATGCCGCAATTTCGTCGTCCTTCTTCCACCGTCGACTTTTTTCCCTAATGATCACGGCTCACTTGACGGGGTGGAAAAACTTTTGGTCTTCCTCCAATAAAAGTTGGCACGTGTTCCCGCGCGACGGTGAATAAACGTCTCGGCGATTATGGCGCCGGTTCGACGTCCGACTTGACAGAAAACTTTGTTAATACGCCGGATCGATAGAGAAAGTTCCGCGACGTGTGTATATATGTGTGCGAGAGAGTTTGCGCGATAGAATTTTGACCTGTCGAAGTCGTCGGGATTATGAAAACGAATGTTGAGGATGGAAGAATCTTGATTTTGATCAATCGCAGGATCGTTCGATTGCCCAACACGAAAGAATATTCTAAAATATAGCGCAAATACTTTATAAAACATATAATCATTGTAAGTCGACAATGGTGTATCTCATTATCAAATCATAAATATTACATTATACTATCAATATTTAGATTTTGCCCCATTTCTACTTTTATCAAAACTTTCCACAACTCATATTATAGCCCAGTAAAATAACAAAATTTGGAGGAAATAATACTGACTGGGCTAAAACTTTGTAAACAGGCTTGTTTTAGGGTACTATTTAACATATTAAAAGTCCCCACGTGTAGACGCTACGTTGCGGGCAGGGGAGAGTCCAAAAGGTCCAAAAAATTAGTTTCTCGCAAATAACTCGGAAAATATCAACTTTACGGAAATTTATGTAGATATTAAAATTGTAGCTTACAAAATTCTGCACAATTTCGTTTTTTATTCACGTCTGTACGACCAAATAGAGCAGAGATAGAATTTTTTTAAACATCGGTAGTTTTGCAACGCAACGAAAACGCGTACGCGCGTCGCGCATTTTTCGCTAATATCTCGAAAATGGACTCTTGAATCGAAAAATGTTTTAAATAAAAGTAGTAGAGAATCTAATTACAAACAATTTCGTTTTTTATTTATTTTTGTACGGTCCAAATTCGCCGAGTTATTAATTAAAAGACAATTTTATTTTATGTTGATAGTGGATGTTTTGCATGTAAAAATCAGTATTAACTCTGAAAGTATAGGTCGTACACATATAGTATATATAATGAAAGTTAAAGAGAATAAAATTTTGAACATGTTGATGTATGCATGAATCCATTTTGGTAAAGATAGCTTGAAGTTAAGAGCAAAAAACATGAAAAAATGTCATTTTTTAGTGCATTTTGGAAAATAACTTTTTCTAATTGGTTGGAGGCAGTAATGGTATGTATTTTTCTTGAAGATATTTTAATTATCTTTAAAATGAGACGTCGTAGACCTTTTTTCATTGAAACGTTGATGAATTAAGGTAAATGTCCCCATGGCCGACCATGTTCCCTCTACCGACTTTTTTGACGTGAAACGTTGTTTACGAGGCTGCTGATTCAACAACACGTTCATTAGTGCAGTGGAAAAATTCAGGAATTCGTGCAGTACAAAATAATTATAACGTGCAGAGTAAGTACAATAGTTAAATATATTTTTTTTCGCATTTCTTGCCGCACGTCACCATCCACGCGTATTCTTAAGAGTGAGGTTAGGAATTGTCGGTCGCCTAAATAGTCCGTATTTCGTTCAAAATCCTTTTGTAAGGAATAATCCGAGCGCTAAATGGTTTGTTACAATTTGATTGCCATATTCGAAAAAAAAAATTAGTCAAAAACTGTCATTTTTTTTATTTATTCGATGGTCGAGGTCAGACACAGCAAAACGCCTGCATGTCCCCAGTACCATACACGTAAACGTCAGTATCATCGAAGCTGCGGAAGCCGACGGCTGCGGTGAGGTTATCCGCTTAGAGGCAGTACTATGTGGGATCTCGGTAGTCGCGGCGCCGTGGTGTTGAGTGTGACGTGTGGGTGCGTGCTGATATACAACGCCTGCTCGTCAACGACAGTCTGCTGTCGCCGCACGCGTATCACGTTCTCGGTTACCTGCGGGAGGCGATTCACGAGCTCGGCGCGGCCCTCCGTGTCGTCCACGTCCACGGTACCGGTTACGTGCGTAAGCTCTGGCACAGTGCGAGCCGTTGTTACCGCGAGCGTTTCCCTTCGTTCAGGATGGACAGGCGACGCGCGAGCAATTATCAGCTCAGCAGCGACTCGTACGCTGCCAAGCGCGGAGAGTCGCCGTCGTTACCGTCATCGCCATCGTCGTCGTCGTCGTCGTCCAGGTTTGGCTTGATAAAAATACCTTTTCATGACTTATGTGTATTTATCATGTTTATCATTGATTTATGTTTATTTTTATGTTTACTTTTCGGTTGAAACCTCCGCCTCGCATGCTCTGAAAAAAGGTAATCGGTAATGGGGACATGCCCGGTCAAAATTGGACACAGCTGGTCGGTAGAGAGGGCACGCACTAGTGCGCCTTTATTCTTCTCTATCTAGAAAAATACTTGACGGAATGGATTGAGCCTACGATTTTTGGAAAGTGCATGGATGAAGCTATCCACCAGTATGAAACTCTTTATCGAATTTATTTTTGTCACGCTTGACAACGCCATTCTTTTGTTGGGTCGGCCTTATAGGTGTCGGCCATAGGGACATTTACCTTACAGGCGTTTAAATATTGAAGAAAAAAAATCAATTTTTGTTAAATTAACATTTTAGTCCAAAAATATATGGATAATAATTTTTCAAAAATTTATTTTACCTTGTTTTCATTACTTCATATATATGTGAACGTGCTGGAGTAGTATAAGTCCTTCGCAAAGTATGTTTTATTTAAAAAAAAAGTTCATGAATATTGCTGTATTTTTTATAAATTGTGGAAAAATTGCATTATCATTCCTTTTTTTGTAAATATCTCCGTTTCTATTAACTTTACAAAAAAACTTCAAGAGACCGAAATTAAAGCTGACAAAATTTCCTATAAATTGGAGTTTATGACATGTAATTTTGAATGCATTGTGATGGGAAACTGGCGTTTCAAAAGACAGGTAAGTTTACGTATGTAGCAGATCATCACTATGAGTCGCCTGAAATGATGAAAAAACGTGTCCTTAACATTTTTCTGTACCTATTGAAGTGTCAGAAGTTATTTTTGGCGTCTTTCTGAATTGTTTGGTACTAAGCCGATATTTTTAGGACCGATAGTACTGTACATAGGTATTAAAGATTGAGAAGAGTCCTTAGTCAATATGCGGCGCGCGGCGTGGCAAACACTTTACGACTCGTTTTATTTAAAAAATCATAACTCACGAACAAATTGACGAAACTTAATGATCAAACACGCAAATTAAAGCTAAAAGTAGTGCAAATGAGAAAAAAATATGAAATAATTATTAATTAAATAAGAATACTTAATTTCGTCGCCGCAAATTTAGTAATTTTTAAATGGTACAGAAGGACTTTAAGGACTTAAAGAATGCTAGAAAAAGAATTTCTGAATAAGAAAAAACGAATTTGAAGTGTGACAGATATTTTTTATGTAAAAAAATTAATTTATTATTTATTATTATTATTATTATTAATATTATCATTATTATTTATTTATTATTTATTATTTATTTTTAATTTTTTAATTAATTTATTAATTTTTTATTTTTTTTTCTTAAATTAAAAGCATGTAAATGCAAATCAAATTGCACCTGGTCATGTGGCTGCAAAAAGGCAGGGTTAAGATGTTCTGACCTCTGTGCTAATTGCAAACAGAACGGCTGCCTAAATATGTTCATATCTGACGAAATAAGCGATTCCGAATCGGATGAAGACTATTCAAATAGTGCGCAAATAAAGAAGAAGAAGAAGAAGACTAACAACTAATTTCCATCGTATCTCTTCTATGGCGGTTATAAATTATTTAAATATTCATATTTCTTCAATTTTTCACTGTACAAAAATGAATAAAACACGAAATGGTTCGTAATTAGATTCTCTACAACTTTTATTTAAAACATTTTTCGATTCGAAAGTCCATTTTCGAGATATTAGCAAAAAATGCGCGAAGCACGTACGCGTTTTCGTTGCGTCGCAAAACTACTAGTGTTTAAAAAAATTCTATCTCTGCTTTATTTGGTCGTACAGACTTGAATAAAAAACGAAATTGTGCGGAATTTTGTAAGCTACAATTTTGATATCTACATAAATATCCGTAAAGTTGATATTTTCCGAGTTATTTGCAAAAAACTAATTTTTTGGACCTTTTGGACCCTCCCCTGCCCGCAACGTAGCGTCTACACGTGGGGACTTTTAATATGTTAAATAGTATCCTAAAACAAACCTGTTTACAAAGTTTCAGCCCAGTCAGTATTATTTCCTCCAAATCGACAAATTTCGAGTCATTTTACTGGGCTATTATACTCGTATGCTATAAAACAACAGCTTTCGTTTTGCGTTTCTAATACACTCCTACTATATTTTTTCATTATCGTGTTTTGCCGGTAGCAATTTCTTTCGTTCGATCCGGGCTATAATCCGATCGTTCTGGTAGCATTCGCGTCCTTACCTTTTCTGGCTTTATCCGGTGACGTGGGCGAGTCGGCGTTCGCATGAATCGAGGCCGTTGTCGGGCCAGAAGATAAAGTCGACGACGAGACCGCCGGCGTACAGGACGCAACAGGACTGGCGGCCGCGGCCGGCAGCAGAAGTTTCCTCTTATGGTTGCAGAGCTTGGTCATCTCCCGCGTCTTGCCCTGATCCGGGCTCCAAGGTCGTGTCGCAACCTGAAACAAGAACGTGTGCGACGCTTGTTATTCGCTTGATCGTATCGCAGCCAATGTGATAGGGCTAACGAGCTAACTTTAAATCATTTCGAACGCATGACAAAAGTCTCTTAAAGTTTTCATATTTCCTCTCGAGACTTAGGGGAATCGGCCTAAGACCTTGTCTTGGAAGATTCGTCGAAATTATCATCGAGAACTCTGCCAAGAATTCTTTCATCGACCAACTATTTCACCGTCGAATCTGACCGGCCGATGTATGGAATGTGGCATTTATGATTCACACTTAGCGTATCCTGCATAAAATAAAGATGATGATTTCCTTTGCCTGCGCCTGATTTTGTCGAGCGGATCGCCATAATTGGAGAATATCGACGCGCGTGAAGCGAGCGAGCGAGCGAGCGAGAAGCGACCGTGCGAGGCGAGAGAAAGAAAGGAAGACTAAGAGAGTCGGTGGCCTCAGACCGACGATGCTCATGAATCTCATGATCGATGCGCGACGCTACAGCGGAGTTAAAACGCGTTCGAGTTGGAAAGCCGCAGGCCGATGCCCGTAATGGCCGTGCGCGAGCTTCGCCGTGTTACTTGTCAGCTCGGGAGACGTTCCGCAGCAATTTACGGCCGCAAACACGATGCCATTACCAGCGTGTTGTAAATAGGATGATACCGCTTGATATACAAGAAGTATCCGTAAAGCTCACCGCGCAAAATGTTAATCGTCGTGGCGTTTTTCCGACGTGTCGCAATAATTGTTGATCGCGTGGCGACCGGTAATAGCTAATGAGAACGAAAAAAGGCGTCACATCACGTAGCTATCTAAATCGTTATTTTCAAATTAAAGATTAAACTAGATTAAATTAAGTCGAATTACACACACACACACAGAATCAATTAGAAGATACAGCAAACTAAATATAATAATTTACGACAGAGACTCGTTAATATTCGGTGCTACACCCGAGTAGCTACAAATGCGGATCGAGTTTAGCGGAATGAAGACGCGCGCGAATTCGTCGCATCCCGTATGAGAGGGTACCCGGCGAGTTAATTAAGAACGACCCAAATACGGCGCCGGGATTACACGCACTCGCGACGGCGGTCGGCCTTGCATCATCGGGAGAATCCGACGAGTTGCCGCGCCGATGTAATGACGTACGCACACGGTTAACTCAATCAGAACGTGTTTTCTCCGACTGGCCTATTATTCATTCCCTTTCCGGCGAAGAGCTCATCAGCGATGATCACTTTACCGGCTAATCACGCCCACTCGCCCGCCGCGATACCGATGAGAGAAACGGGGAAGCCTATGTCGTGACGCGACCTATCTCGGATAATATTGCCGATCAAAGATACCGTCGCGACAAACACACACATACACATAAAGAACGAAGAGTTATAATTTATAAATCGATTGCGGCTACCGCCGGATCGGTGAAGATTTTTCGATAATAGTGGCGTTCGCTGAGAAAATAAATCTTTTGAGAATGAAAAAAATTACAAATTTATAAGATACAAAAAAAAATTATGGAATAACGATACAGCGCAAAGGTACACGCGATACATATGAGAGCGCTAGGAAATTAAGTTTCTTTTCCGTTCAAAAATCATCCGCATTCTTTGCAAAACGAAACCACTACAGATAGACGTATCGCGCGCGAAAACTCAATCCCTTTTTTTTTTATTAGTCACGCTCGCTCGGTGCCGTTGCCTTCGAGTGTGCTGTTGCGGTTACGTCGTACGATTGTATATACGTACGTGCGAGGCATGTACGCAAGGTGTTTGCATCACTACCTAAATAATCCTCGTCACCGAGAGAGTGCACGGGCTGCATACACGCTCCGCCGCCGCTTTCCACGGCATTATTTCCCGTCACATGCCGCCCGTTGCACGCGAGGTAATCACGACCGGCGACTGGCGGCGGAAACCGCGATTTAATCCTTTTTCTCGGACGCAAAATGAGACGCCGTACTGCGACAGAAACGACTTTAATACGATAGCTTTTACCCGTTCCCTAGTGTCCGGATGAACGTAGCAAGAGTCTCTCTCTCTCTCTCACTCCCCCTCTCTTGATTAGACGATCTCGAAAGGGAAAATAAACCGCGCTGCGCTGGCTGTGTAATTACCACGCCAAACGAGCCAGCTAGTATACGCTAGTATACGCAGTGTTCCACCGGTTTTACATAAAATTATTTTATATAATAGGTTACTGTACCGCGTATAATCGGGCAAACTATTAGGTACATCGGGAGAAAATAAAATTAATACTGCAAACTCTTTGAAATGTCCAGAAACCGATACGTCTGCGATAAATATTTTTTCGCGTGGTTAGCACGCAGAAAATAAAGTACGACAAGTTATTGTGAAATACAGTATTACTCTTATTTCTCACACACATACACACACACATATATATAGCAATGATTCTAATTACAAGAACGTCTCCGGTAAAATTTAATGGTAATGGAAAAGAGAAACTAGTTAGAGACGTAATAAACCTGTCGTACAATCTAGGCATAATATTTAAATCTCCATATTTACCAATACCGAGGTGTTCGTAAATAACGCACGTTAATTACCACGTAAAACAAGCCAGAGGGACACAATCCGTGCGGGGTACTCGCACACTAACATCGTAAATCGATATATGTATATGCTCGTGGCCAATACTCGAGAACATAAAGCCTCGCGGAGCTCACCGAGGGTGTTCCGTTCTTCGATCGCGAATACGCGACGATCTCCGCGAGTCTTATTTCGAGAGAGGTAAATCATCGGGTGCCACCACGTCCGCCAACTCCGGATCTCGGGGCCCCAATCAACTCCGCGCGCAGGGCCCCTATTCCTCCCTCTCGGTTCGGATCGGCTCGGCTCGGCTCGGCTCGATGCGACGCGACGCTCTGACCTCGAGGTCGTTAAATTAAATTTATGTCAGTCCCCTCGTTCGCCCCCTCCTTCCTTCTCCTCTTCCTTACGCGAACGTTCTTGCATACCTATATACCGTACGCGTTTATCGTTACCGTGCGACATTACACTGAATTAACGTAACAAGGCTATTAGTCGGCGATTTTACGACTTTAATTGTGACAGCGGGACCAACCGTGCTCGTTCCCGAGCCTCACAAATTGGCTCTCGAGACAATCGCGCGGGGGCACGTTGTGCCGTACGCGTCGTACGTACCTGTCAACCGCGGATAATTAAACTCGCATACGTACGTACGTACGTAAATATACGATTGTTCGCGAGTAACGTTTCCCAGAGAATGTCAGCCCGCCGGATCGCAGACCAAATAACTAGGTACGCCTCTCTTTCGGGTAACAAGTGGCAGCCCATTCGTTACAGCGAGCACAGTGTAATAATGTTTCGCTAAACGCTGAACTAGATATTGTATAATTGAATGAAACGGCGAACACGTCGTTACGTAAAGTCGCGTCGTTTAAAGCGAGGCCGAATCAATTATCGGAATCTCTCACAATTGTTGAGTTATTATGAATTTCCTGCGACGAACGCAGCATAAAATAAAAGCGGACTACGTAATTTGATTATATATATGCAGCACTTAAGCGTACAGCTATCATTTGTACTTATCACAACTTTGTAATAAATTGTAACAATATTAGTAAAACTCAACTGTTTTTACGCGATGCAATCGATTTAACAATAATTTTAAGATAATTAATTTTAAACCCACTTTCGCGTTACGACGTTGTGCAGCTTTTTCATTTTGCGTCCATTCTCGTGACGAGAATATAAAATTTTAGAGAGAAAGAGAGAGAGAGAGAGAGAGAGAGAGAGAGAGAGAGAGAGAGAGAGAGATTCGCGTTATTAAACTCTGCCACTATTAAAAGTCTCGCGTCAAAGCCGGGAATATGGATCGACAATGAGCGTTCGTCGACGTCAATGCGAATATCTAATTTACGATCGACGACGCTGTGTTCCCGCATTAATATCGCCATTATTGAACTCGAGCAATTGTCGGGCGTAATGAAAGGTGCCTCCGCGTCTACAATCGTCTACAAAGAGCATTTGGTGCTTCGCTGTTGCAATGCGGCATTGCGAAACGAGATGCAACGACGTGCGATTAATTTAACCGAATCCCTGAATTGTACACGCTGAAAAATAACAATAACGAAGTTGTCCATTTGTCAAACATTATCGTTTTACGATGAAAAATAAGATCGACTTGCAATTCGGATAGTATGATTTTTCCGTTTCAATTTAGACTATTTAGAGGAATGAACGAAGTAATGAACTTTTAGTAATGAATCAATAAATTGACGACTGAAAATAGAACCGCGTGCACGAAGTCTCGGAGATATTTAGGTCACTAGATACCGACAGTTAATTAATTCATTAATTAGTAACTCTTCACCAGTAATTGCGTGCCCGCCTCCATTTCTCACAAAAGGTGCTTACCTTGATTACGACATGTGCAGAGATACGTGTGTGTGTGTGCGTACTCTCTCCCGAATACTCAATTAATTTCTTAATGAACGACAATTATATAGTCTCCGTCGCGGCACTGCATGCACATGCATAATGCGCCCTAGTCTTATTATAGATCGCGAAGGTAACAGGGGAGAGATGATAAAATCGAAGGTGCCCGCGCATCACACGGCAAAGCTCGATGAGCTGTGACAGTTTCAGAAGTCAATCGTCGGCAACGTGGGCGTCGTCGCAATGTCGCGTCGAACGTCACGACGATCCGGGAATACCGCAGGGAAGAAAAAAGAAGAGCTCGGTAATCCAATCGATGGACGATGATCATCTGGTTGGCTAAACTGATACTGATTCATCACGCGATAAGTCACTCGCGTAGGATACAATCCCTCGTGGGAAGGAACGCTTTATGCCAACGTCGCTCGTGGCAGGAACGAAAGGGAGCAGCGCGTGTTACGTGACGCTCGCTTAATTACCACTCGTTCATGAACGAGTGACCCGAATGATCCATGCTTCTCCAGCCTATATCGCTGAGATGAAACTAATGAAAATAAACGTGACAATGTAAC